AGAGATTGCTGGAATCTAATCGTTCGTTCTAAAATGAACTAATAAAATCCCACGAAAAAGAGAGAAGATGAACCCTTAAATGATTGCATGACCTAGGGAGTTAAACAGCTCATATCAACAATAGGTTAATCTGCACGAAAGGTAACAGTATGTTTCGGTTGGAAAAGGGCAAGATGGTAACATAATTGCACAAACCGTACAGATGAACACAAAGATAAAAAGGGTTCAGGAATTGTTGAATTTAGATATATAGGACCCTAGAAGAAGAATATAGGACTCGAGAGGAAGACTCGGAAGAGGAATATCAGAGCAAGAAAAGGGAAAGGGGCAGGTAGCTCAAAATCCGATAAATCGAATACCGCCTCGCTTCAGTTATGAGAGGGGGCTTCACCAAGTGCAGACAAGAAAGATACCGAACTGAGAACACCAAGTGAAAAGGACACAAGCTATTCCTACCAAGAAAGGTTATTCCTTCCAAAGTATAACAAACACTAATGGAATGATATGCAGAGATTTTCTTAACAGTGCATCAGATCTAGCAGACTCGCACATGTGGTTATATGCTTGTATATACAAACTTTGGTCCTATATCCTATTCTCAATTTCTAATGTTCATAGTGGCATGCTCAACATATTAATGTTCAGTTTTTCTCCTCCGGATTTCTCTCATGATATATAAGATGCTCCACTTCTGTTGGAGATAAAGCATATAATACTGAGAGAAAGGAAAAGCAAGTTACACAGTTCGCAATAAAAAAGATCATTGGAGGGCATCATCATTGAAGACTGTAGCAGCTTGCTGGAAGCCTTGAAACTTGTCAGGATGGCTAATGACAAGTCAATTAAGAAGTTAGTTCCAAAAGAGAATGCATCATTTAGAAATGATCTATATTTCAAGCTATCCAACATCCATTAACACCTTCGTATCCGTATAATCTTTCCAAGTGTCTATAAATTCAAAGAATGATGACAGCAGAGAGAGAAATGCCAGCTTGAAAAGACCACCTACTTCAAGAAAACATATTAGCGATGTGACTGACGACATCACCAACGAATGAGTTGAAGCATGACGAGCAGATGGTTCTCATGAGAAACGCTGGCTCTCGGCCATCACAGGCGTGGCAACAATGGCTAGGAAAAGGAAAAGGTGTAGAAACAACCCTATCCTTGTTGTGCGCAATACCAGACAACGCTAAGATAGTGTGTGTCGCCCGCCGTGCTACATTCGTGAAAGAGGATTGATCTGAAACATAAAGGATGAGAGGTTAGTTCCAGTTAAATAGTCATGCTTTAGCAAGATTGCATATATAGTCCAACACAGCTGTCTTTGCATTTAGTTCAGCGTACAATGGCCAACAGCATAGCAGAAAAAAGGACTATAAAAAGGACAGGCAATTATTATTTAGGCTACTAATAGCCACAAACCTGAGACATTTCCAGTTTAGATAATTTATTTTGGGACCACAACTGCTACAATGGGATGATGCCCTAGCATAAACTGAATTAATTTTCTCTAACAACCATTTTAAATATGAAAATACAAGGCTACTCAATCTCTAGGTAATCTAATATGCTAAGGATAAAATCAAACTATTACACCCAAATGTTAACTTGTGGGTGCTCGAAAAATTGATACATTAAAACAGTTTGCTCAGACCGCTATACGTACCCAATGGGGACCGGGCACAAATGTGCTTGATGCTCTTCTTGACAATAGGAATCAGCTGGTCCTTGGCATTTGCAACTTCTCGGAAATTGCTTCCACCCTCATCAGTGCATTGATTAAGATTACTTGCAGACTGTACAAAATGTGAGCTACTCTGCTGGCTCTGCATAAAATCAGCCCTGGAACATGATGGGCTCACATCTGTAGAGGTGCAGGCGTTCCGTTGATTTTGTTCTGTTGCTGGTGCGCTTCTGTCTTGCTGAATGCTATTCTGCCAAGCATTAGTTGCAGTCCTAGGTCTAAATAGAAGAATACGAATGCGTCGGTTCAAGGCACGCCTTCTATCAAGAGTTGCATGCCTCCCAGTAGGAGTTGATACAGGTTCAGCTGAGAGATGTGACTCGGCTCGCTTATCTTCCTCAGGTGTTTCTATTGGAGAGAGATTTAGATCAAATCCTTGCAAAGAAGGCTGAACGTTTATTGGTGGTGGTCTCTGGAACACTCCACTTGATGTAGATCTGCCCAACGAACCAGAACTGCTATCGGCGGTGTTCATGTTACTATCTCCACGGTGAACCACCCTATCCTGTGTTTGTGCATGAGAAGGCCCTTCCACACTGGATCTACACCCACCACAGTACCAGTTGCCTTCTGGTACTTCTCTTCCCAGACCAACACAGAAAGTATGTGCAGAGGAATCACATATATCACATAGCAACATGAGATTGTCATCACCGCCTTGATTGCACTCTATACATACAACATTTTCGTATGGGTCCAACCATCGCCTCATTTCATCTTCAGTGGGCTGGTATACCTGTTCAAGGAAGAAACAGAACAAATGAGACAACCATGCAAACTGTCACGGTTTATTGTTAACATTACTTTTAAGCTAACCAGTGCACAAGTTTCAGTTAGCATCCTAACAATTAAGAGGTTTTATATATGTTGTCATGCGGAACATAATCCAAAATTCAAAAGGTTATAAAGTCCTCAACATCTACAGATTTACATCAACATCAAGGTTGTGAATACAACAAGAAAAGCTCTTACTTGCAGAAATGTGAATTTACATCATCGAACCCTGAGTTTGAATGGCAAAGTGGATGTAATGGATATGTTATCCCTAAATTGGTAAATTTCCGTGTCATATCTGCTTAAAACTTTTAATCCACTAACCAACATTTTGGATGGTCACTAGAAACAACACAGCACACTTATTATAATAAGTAACAGCAAAATGTATGTTCCATTCCTACGGGGACAGGATTTTCATATATTTTAGTGGTAGTTCGAACATAAATGCATTTCATCTCAATGACTAACCAATTCAAATATTAAGTGGGCAAGCAATGCAGAATGGTTTTATACCCTGTGGATATGTAATTTTATAGTGACCAGGAGAGTAAACCATTACCTGATCGCGCTTTTCTACCCTAACAGGAGCATTCCTCAACCCCAATCCTAGATCTGCCACTGATGACTTGGTAATTGTGTTGAAACGCCGTTTACACAGTGGACACCTCGACTCCACCTTTGACCACTCAAGGATGCACGCGAAGCAGAAGTAGTGTGAGCAGCAATTAAGCACACCCTGTATTGTAGCTCTCTGCTCCTCTGAGAGGCAGATACCACATATCTGTTTCAAAGCCTCCTCTGGCTCTTTTCCCTTCTCGTCTACCCTCCTAGGAGCAATGGTCCTTCGTGCTGGGGGCGAAGGCAGCTGTGGCACGATCTCTTGGGGCCTAGGCACCCCCAAATCCTTAAGTTCCTCCTCCGATATGACATAATCAGAGTCTGAAGACGAGTCTGATTCAGAACCCCTCTTCCTCCTACCCTTCTTTCTCTTGATCCTCGCAGGCTCAGCAACTGGTGTTTCCTTCTCAGCATGATCCTCGTCAGATGTCACAAACTCAAATTCTGATGTGTCAGATTCGACTGATGGCCATGCTTCTCCCACAGCAACTGGCTCTGCAGTACCTTCCCTCGTCTTCCTCCCAGCCTTGGCCTTCTTCCTTGGCCGGTAATTGACCTCTTCCTCCACGTCGTCCTTGACAACAAAATCATCATCATCCTCTTCCTCCTCATCGTCTTCATAGTCGTCAGCCACCCGCCGCTTGCTCCTACGCCGACGTGCTGACGTGCCATTCCTTGTCTTTCCCTTGGAACTACTCTTCCTCTTACGGTGTTGGCGCCCAGCCGCTGGCTTCCGCTTGGCCAAGTGGTTCCTAGGTCTAACATTTGTGGCACGAGTTGGGGCATAATCCCCCAAATCATCATCTTCTTCTTCAACATCTTCCTCCTCATCCTCCTCATCTTCGTCCACCTCCGGATCAAAGTCTTCATCCTCATCCTCGATCTCTTCCTCGTAATCATCATCATCCTCATGCCTCTGCCGGCTAGAGCGTGTTGACTTCACCTTCCTGCCCTTGCCACGAGCCTCGGACAGGTTCCTCGGCTGTAGCGTCTCGGTCTCCAACTCCTCATCCTCTTCCTGATCCTCAACTTCGTCCACCGCCCCATTGAAATCTGCATCAAGCTCATCCTCCTCCTTCACATTCCTGCCACCGGACTGATACTTGACTGACTCTGGCGTCTCGATCTCCAGCTCTTCATCCTCTTCCTGATCCTCAACTTCCTCCTCAGCCACATTGAAATCTGCATCAAGCTCATCCTCCTCCTTCACATTCCTGCCACCAGAGCGATACTTAACTGACTCTGGAGTCTCGATCTCC